TCTTGTTCAGCCTCAGAATTTTCCTTTACTAATAGTGTAGTACTGATCCACTTGCAATGAATTCTTTCAAGTATTGCTTGTATTTGATATTTTGAGTGATGTTGTATCTGCTACAAAATTGCCAGTGAGCAGGTTTGGGGGTTTTTTGTTTGTTTTCTTTTGGAACTTTAAAAATGTTACTCCATTTTATTCTGCTCTTCATGATTTCAAGAAGTATGCAATAGTGTTTAAAAAAATCCTTTTATATCTTTCTTTTTCCTGTATGTATTTGTTTGGTTTCAAGTTTTTTGTTGTTTTTTTTTTAATTTTTAGTAGTTTAAATATGTTTTGCTTTTTGTGTTTATTCTTCTTAGTATTCTCTGTCTTAATTTGTTGCTTGTGTCTTTCCTCAACTTTTCAACGTATTTAGCAATTACTTCTTCAATGATACCTTCTACATCTGAGTTTCCAATTATATGTGTGTTATAACTTTGATCTAAGAGCTATTGGATGTGTTTTGTGTGTGTGTGTGTGGTTTTTTACTTCAATCTCTTTATATTTCATTTTGGTAACTTCTCATAAGACTTGCTAGATATTATCTCTTTTCTCACCTCTGTTGAGCCAGCTCATGAATCTGTTGAAGGCGTTCTTCATCTCTTAAATGTGTTTTTCATTCCCAGCATTTCTATTTGATTCCTATAGTTTTTACTTCTGCTGTTTTCCACATGATTTTACATATTGGCTATATTTCCCATTAGATCTTTTATCACTGTAATCATAGTGATTTTATGCTCCTTGTTTAATGACTTGAACATTTGTTTCATATCTGCATCTGGTTCTATTAATTGCTTTCTTTTGGCAGTGAGTTGTTTTTCTTGCTTTTTTACATGCCTTGTAATTTTTCATGTCATTCTGTATATTGATAATAGTGTTTATGTCTAGGAATGGGCTTGCCTTTCTTTCTGATAAATCTTTAGTTTGAAAGAATGTTTGAGAAATTTGAAAGGAGCACTAAGTTCCCTATATGTAACAGAAGCTATCACAAGCTTTTTGGAGTTAAAGATATCCAAATTAATTTACTATTTTACTGTCTTGTTAATTGTTTTATATAATTATTCTTGGGGGGAATCTTACTCTGTGTAATGCATTCTTTCATTTATACTTTTAAAACAGACTTTTAGGTTATTAACTGAATTTATCCCCATTTTACACATATAAAAACTTAAGTAAAATGGCATATGTAAAGATAAGCACCTATCAAATGACATAATTGGGACTTGATTCTCCAGGTCTAATTTCATATATTGTGTTCTTAACTATTATCCTGTTTCAATGCATTATTTAGGTTAACAGGGGAAAAAAATGAGTATCAGTTATATTGAAGGTCATGTGATAAGATTTATGGAGGGATGACACCATCAATAGAACATGATGTCCATTTAATACACTAATATTCTAAGAGTGGATTTCAAAGAGTATCACTTTTCATTAAGCAACTGGAATGGAAGAAATACATAGTAATAGGTCTTACTTATGAATGATACGTGGTTGATGCATTTTAGAGGAATTTTTCTGGTTACTGTGAAGGATTCATTACCATTGTAAATGGTCCAACCCTTTTCAGGTTAGAACCATCATTGGCTTGGTTCCCAGGATGTTATTTTTGTAGAGCTCATGAGTGACACATTCATTAGCACTATACAGCAGGTCCTCAATAATTTTTTTCTTTTTTTGGTGTCTCTTCATTATAACATTGATGAGATGCCATAGTATTGCTGGCAGAAATAGGATTCTTCCAGAGTCACAAGAAAAGCGTTTCAGGACTGTCTTATAGGAGGATATGAGCAACAGAGGCAAAATTTATTGGAGCAGAAATAAACCACTTCCTCCAGGTGCCATATGTCTCGTCCAAAATCAGGTGGCTCAGCTCAATCTTGCTGCAGAAGCGCAGGGCCTGAAGAACACAAGTGTTCACTTGGAAGGTCGGGATCCAGAACTGTAATGCCATCACCCCGGGCTCCAGAAGTCCAGCATAATCTCTGCTCCCAGCTGCACTCTGGCCGATTTGCTCCATACTTTAGCTCAAGTGGCTGCTACGACAAGAGACAAGAGAATGGGCAAATGAACCTTTGTTAAGCCTTGATTATATTACCCTGGTCTTGGGAAGGGATAAGCTTTCTTTCAAACTAACGAATCTTCTTTCTAATTTTCTGTGGGCTGTGCTGGGCCTTCCCGCTCCAGTCCCTTTCCTGGATCTTCTGGGGTTCAGTGCCCTTATCCTATCCTATCCTTTTCCCAGATTTTCCCAGGCTAGTCCCTTCCCCTTTATTTCACCATTTTGGCTCCTCCTCTGCATGTTTCATAGTTTTGCCTTGTCATTTGGTTTCTGCATTTGCCTCAGCAGACAAATTTCATCTTTACTGGTTCTTTCTCCCTTTAGTGATCTATGGGACAGTGCCATTTGTTCCCTGGGGAGATTGGAAAGTCATTCCTGCCTCCCTGCTTTGGGGAGGGAGGGGTGTTAATCCCCTTGGCATGGCAGTGTGGTGGTTCCCAGTAATTGGGCTTAATATGTGATTCCATTTGCCCCCTTCCTTTGTTAATAATCAACTACCTACTGTAACAATAGGAACTCAACCATATGGTAAAGTTATTTTCGGTATACTTCATCCTAGTTGAAGTCGCACAACCTGTCTGCATTAAATAAGGACTTACTCTACAAAGATAAAATATGGACACTGGATAACATTAGGCATGTGGAAGTGATAATTGACACAATAAAGAAACAAACACAGTAGCAGGATAAGGAAGAATCAAGAACATCGTCCCACGATTTAGAGTATACCTTCAGTGAGGACTGGGAGGAAGAAAAATCAGTAGAAAAGAATGAGTTGATTAGGGTGTTAGGAGAATCAGAGTAGTATAGCAAGGCTGTCCAATAGAACTTTCCATGATAATGAAAATGTTCTGTACCTGTGCTGTCCACTGCAAAGGAAAACACTAGCCACTTTAAATAAAATTTAAAGTTAGAAGATTTCCTAAGCATTGGCAGCCTGGGAGTTAACACTGCTTTAATGGCTGACTTACTTCTGCCAGTTGTACTTTGGGAAAACTGACTTCTTGTTCACTTCTCTGGCCTCACATTTTCACTTCAATTTGGACATGTAATTCTTTACTCTCTCAGTCCTTTAGCTTTAAGACAGGTTTTTTTTTTTTTTTTGGTGCTTCATATTTCAGCTAGTAATTTGTTTTCTTTGGAAATATTGGTCTAAGTAATCTACTCTTAGTACAAACAGGAATCTTGTTTTTAATTTCATGGAAGAATGCTTTGTTCATAATTTTCCTGAACTTCATGGCATAATCTTATTTTTGTGTGTTTTTCCTTTATTTTTCTCATGTTCTTTACCTCCATTTTTTTTTTTCAGGACATTTTTTTGTAGGTCCCACATTAAGAAAGATTTTTTTGTCACTCTTTTTCATTTTGATGTTCTTCCTGTAGGCTAGTAGGTAGCTTGAATGTTTGATCAGTTGTCTCTAGACACATTTCTCACCAACATTTTTCTCTAGATGTGACTGCCTTCTTGGCCAGCCAAAAGCTTCTTTGAAAGCCCTATGTATTATAGATTTTTTTCCTACCTCTTCTGGTCTTGTTACTATTTTCAGATTAGATAAGATATATGAACTTCTTTTTTTTTATGTTAACTTTAATGACAGCTCTGTGTTGTTCCTATAGATGAGACTACTGTATACATGGCATACCTATGACAAAGTTTAAGTCTTATTTTGTTCTCTGTCCATTTCTAACCTTGCACTTCTTTTATTTGCATATGCTTCTCTTTTGGTACCATTGTATTCTTCTCTGTGCCTTAAAGAGTCTGTTGATTGATTTACAAATTAGTACCATCTTTCTAATGGTCTCTCAGTTCTTCCTATATGTAATGAAGGTTTGAATTAGTTGATTTTAAACATCCCCTCTTCAGTTAGTGATTTCTTTTTATAGAGTTGTGTTTCTAAACTTTTTTTTTTTTTTTGGTAATTTATCAATTTAAAAGTAATTAGTCAGGTACTACAGGGAGAAAGTAACTTTTTAAAATTGCTTTGAATCTTTTGTTAAAAGATTGATCCTCACAAAAGTCTGTACATCAGTGTTTATAGCACCTTCATTCATAATTGCTCCAAACTGGAAGCAACCAAGATACCCTTCAGTAGTAAATGAATGAATAAACAAAGTGTGGTACATTCATACAATAGGATATTAGCAGCAGTAAAAAGAATAAGTCATAAGGCCATAAAAACACATGAATACAGCTTAAATGCATATTGCTAAATGCGAGAAGCCAGTCTGAAAAAAGTTGTATTTTGATTTCCACCTGTATGACATTCTGGAAAAGCAAAACTATAGAGATGGTTAAAAGATCAATTATTGTCTAGGGAATTGAGGCAGAGAGTGAGGAGGGAAAAATAGGTAGAACACAGTTTTGAGAGCAGTAAAACTAGTTTATGTGATACTGTAATAGTGGGCAAATAACACTATGCATTTGTCAAAAGCCGTAGATCTGTACCACACAAGAGTGAACCCTAATGTGATCCCTGGACTTTAGTTAATAATGTATCAATATTGGTTCATCAGTTGTAATAAATGTACCACACTAATGCAAGATGTTAATAATACTAGAAACTGTATGTGGGATGGAGAGGGGTTGAGGAGAAGGGGAATATACGGGAACTCTGTAGCTTCTGTACAGTTTTTCTATAAACGTAAAACATGTTCCTGAAAGTAAAAACCTATTAATTAAAAATTACTGATGCCTGATAAAGCGTTCATGAAATTGGCTATACGAAGTAATCTAATAACCATAGGTAGTATTTTATTAATGTAACGTTAGTGAAGATTTTCTTTTTTGTTAAAAGTTTAATTCTTATTGTGTTCCCCCACCTTTTTTAAAAGTGGAATAACTGCAGTCATTCTTGTTTCTGTATTCATTTCTTTTCTTTTTTTCCTTCTTGGTTTTTTCTGTTAGGTGTACTAGCTCTATCTTGGTACCCACCTGGTTCACATGATGAAAATGGAGTACCTACTGATGACTTGGTACCAACTATTTTGGATAAAGCTCATAAATATAATCTAAAGGTATTTTATTTTATGTATTTTAATTTTTTATTGAGATATAATTGGTATGTCACATTATATTAGTTTCAGATGTTCAGTATAATAATTCATATGTGTATATATTGTGAAGTAATCATCACAATAAGTCTAGTTATCACTGTACATAATAACAATTTTTATTTTGTCTCCTCATGAGAATTTATGAGATCTGTTCTCTTAGCAACTCTGCAATGTGGTAGTATTAATTAATAGTCACATGTTGTATTTTACATCCTAGGACTTATTAATTTTATGTCTGAAGTTTGTACCTTTTACTTCTTTTACACATTTTTCTCCACCCCAACATCAGGTAACCATAATTTCTCTGAAGCTATGAGTTGTTGGTTTTGAGTGCATTTTCAAGATTCCACATATAAGTGAGATCGTACAGTATTTGTATTTCTCTGACATACTTACTTTACTTAACATAATGCACTCAAGGTCCCTCTGTGTTATAACAAATCACAAGATTTTCTTTTTAATAGCTGAATGGTATTTCCTTGTATAAATGTGCCACATTTTCTTTATCCATTCATTCATTGTTGAACACTTACATTGTTTCTATTTCTTGACTATTGTAAATAATAATGCACTGAGTATCAGATATAGTGTTTCTCTTTCCTTCAGATAAACACCTGAAGTGGAATTGCTAGGTCTTATAGTAGTTCTACTTTTTAATTTTCTGAAGAACCCTCTACTGTTTATCATAGTGGCTGCATCAATTTATAGCCCCATTAACAGTTCACAAAAGTTACCTTTTCTCCAAATCCTTGCAAACACTAGCTATTTCTTCCCTTTTTGATAGTAGTCATTTTAACAGGTATGAGGTGATATCTCTCTGTGGCTTTGATTTGCATTTTTCTGATGACTAGTGATGTTAAGCACCTTTTCATTTACTTGTCCATATAGATGTCTTCTTTGGGGTAAACATGTCTAATTCAAATCCCATACCCATTTTTAAATCAGATCAGTGTTTTTTGTTTGTTTGTTTGTTGAATTGTAAGTGCTCTATATATTTTGGATGTTAAACCCCTTATCAGACATATTTTATGATTTGCAAGTATTTTCTCCCATTTGGTAGATTGCCTTTCATCTTGTTGATGGTCTCTTGCTTTGCCAAAGCCTTTTAGATTGATGTCATCCTGTTTTATTTTATTTCTCTCAATATATTTTTTGCTTTTTCTTCTGGTTATTTTTCTAACCAGTTGGTTGTACAGTAGCATGTTGTTTAATCTATACATACGGGTAGTTATGAGTTTTCTTCTTGTAATTGATTGCTAGTTTTATACCATTGTGGTCCAAAAAAGGTGCTTGGTAATGATTTCATTCGTCTTAAATTTTTTGAGACTTGTTTTGTGGCCTGGTGGATGTTCCATGTGCACTTGAGAAGAATGTGTATTAGATTCTTTTGGATAGAATGTTCTGTGTATGTCTGTTAATTGCATCTGGTATAACGTGGCATTTAAGATCAGTTTCAATTGGTGAAAGTGGGATATTAAAGTCTCCTACTATTATTTCAGTCCTGCTTATTTTACCTTTTAAGTTTGTTAATGTTTCCTTTTTATATTTAGGTGCCCCTGTATTGGTTGGATAAATATTTAGAAGTGTTAATTCTCACATTGGATTGATAACTTTATATATTGACCTTTGTTTCTGATTACAGACTTTCTTTAATGTTTATTGTGAATGATATAAATACAACAATTTGTCTTCTTCTTTTTTTTTTTTGGTTCTATTTGCATGGAATATCATTTTTTTTTAACTCTGTCATGTTCAGACTGTGCATGTCCCTACATCTGAAGTGAGACCTTTGTAGTGAGCATATAGATTGGTCTCTTATTTTTTAAATTCATTCAGACATTCTATTTTTTTTTTCTTTTTTTTTGAGCAGGCAGAATTTAGCCTATTTATTCTTAAAGTAGTTATTGGTAGATACGGAGTTTTGCTGATTTGTTTTATAGCATTGTAATTTCTTTATTTCTTCTTTTCTTGCTCTCTTTATGATTTGATGATTTTCTATAGTGGTAGGTTTATATTTCTTTCTCTGTATTTTTTGTGTATATCTACTAAGGGGTTTTACTGTTTGGTTACCTTGAGACTTCCATAAAACAACTTATGTTTGTAATAGTGTATTTTGTTGATGATAAATTAAATTTGAATGCATTCTAAAGTTGTATATTTTATACCCCTATTTACTTTTTATCTTATTTCCAATAACAAATCATTGTAATTACTTTTAATGCTAGCTTTATAAGTCATTAAATCATCACCTTTACAACATCAGATTTTTCTGAATTTTATTATACAGGGTCTGGCAGGAGCAATGCCCCCATGAGCATGGTTGGTAGTATAATAATATGGGTGTAATAATTTATAGTTTTAATTTGAACATTTCACTTAAAATGCTATATGGTGTGTTTGAATGTGATATTGTTATGTTACAGAATTACGTGCTTATGATTTTGTAATAAAAGATTTTGTAATAAAAAAATAGCATTATTTGTGCCAGACCCTGAGTATTTACTTATACCAGTGGGATTTATACTTTTATATGTTTTCCTATTACAAATTAGCACACTTTTGTTTAAGATAAGGTAGCCCCTCTAACATTTCTATTAAGGCCAGTCTGTTAGTCATGAACTTCTGTAGCTTTTACTTTTATGGAAAAATCATTATTTCTCACTTAGTTCTGAAGGATAACTTTGCTGGGTTATTCTAGGTTGGAAGTTTTCTTTTAAAAGTGCTTTAAATATACCTTGCCACTTCGGTTGATATAATAGGGGTTCCTTTGTATATAACATATTGTTTTTTCCTTTTGCTTCTTTTAAGATTCTCTCCTTTAACATTTGACTATTTATAACATATACAAGATATTTTATTTGGAACTCTGGGCTTTCTGGATCTGGATGCTTGTTCCTTTCCCATATTAGGGAAGTTTTCAGCTGTTGTTTATTTCAGATAAATTTTCTGCCCTTTTTACCCAGGGATCCCTTTTTGATATCATCCCACAAGTCCCTTAAGTTATCTTATCTCTTCTTTTTCCTTTTTGCTGCTCTGACTGGATGAGGGCTGCTGCCTTGTCTTTAAGTTCATTGATTCTTTCTCCTGCTTTTTCTAGTCTGCTACCAAATTCTCTCTCTATTACGTATTTTAGTACAGTTATTTTATTCTTCAATTCCATCATTTGTGTTTAGTACTCTCATATTTTTTGTTTGTTGAAATTCTCACTTTGTTCATGAGTTGTTCTCTTGACCTTGGTAAGCATCTTTATTACAGTTATTTTGAACTATTCATCATGTGGAAAACTTTACTTGTTTTCTATTGCTGCATTACAAATTACCCCAAAACTTGGCAGTTTAAAACAGCACACATTTATTACGTACAATTTCTAAAGGTCAGGAATCTGGAAGTGGCTTAGACTGGTAGGTATGTTTCAGGATCTCAGGAGATTACAGTCAAGCTCTTAGTGGGTGCTACAGTCAGCCAACTTTGTCATGTTGATGGTTGGTAGGCCTCAGTTTCTTTCAGCTGTTGAAATGGGAGTTTTAGTTCTTCACCACATAAGCCTCTCTGTGGGGCTGCCTGTGTCTTCTTATGACATGGGAACTGGATTATTCAAAGTGAATGATCAGAGAGAGAGAGAGAGAGAGAGTCTAATATAGATTCTGGAGTCTTTTTTGAGCTAATCTTAGAATGAATATCACTTCCACCCTATTCTGTGGGTTTATCCATGGATAAACCAGCTGTGGTACATGCAGGTAGCAACTGCACGTGCCATGAATATCCCAAAATGGGAATCATCGGTTGTCAGTTCGAATACTGGCTACTACAGAAAACTTGCAAATTTATTCTATAGTGATAGCACAATTCTGATTCAGAAAATAAACAATAGCACAAGAAAGAGAGATACAGGCTGATCTCATTGATGAAAATACATGCAAAATTCCTGAAGAAAAATTAGGTGTTTATTAGAAAAAAATATTAAGAATGGTTTCAAGCCCTCGCTGATGGGCTCAGTGGATTGAATGCTGGCCCGCGAAACAAAACGTCACAAGTTTGATTGCCAGTCAGGGCACATGCCTGGGTTGCAGGCCAGGCCCCAGTTGGGGGCGTGCAAGAGGCAATCTATGAATCTCTTGCACATAGATGTTTCTCTCCCTCTCATTCTCCTTCCTTTCCCATCTCTCTAAAATAATAAAATCTTTTAAATAAAAAAAAAAAAGAATGGTTTCAAGAGTAATAAATCTGAATCCAAATCTCCTATATTCAGTCCAGTTCATCCACTTAATAACTGTGTATGTTACTCTTGTACCTCAGTTTCCTCCTTTCTCAAATGGACAAAAAGTAAAAAAAAACTACTCTACAGAAGCAGTTCTAAAGTTTGCATGAAGTTATATATACATATATATGTGTGTGTTTTTTATATATATAACGCACATGTATATACATAAACACATGTATATATAGACATATACATATATACATACATATGTGAAACATTTAGTAATACATATGTGTATATATATGGAGCATTTAGTGATATATATATATACACACACACACACACATATATATAAAGTTTAGTGTCTGGCACAGAGTAAGCACTATATAAGTATTAAGTAAACAGAACTTCATTGGATATATCATGGAGATAAAACATGGTTATCTTACTGGATACTGAAATTTTGAGGAAATAAAAACTCACTAATAAAACTCTTAATGAAAATTTTTTTAACTTAATAAAGGTTATCAGTGTTGATTTAAATAAAGCAGTTTAAAGTATAAAAAATGTTATAAATCAAATGATCACTTTTTTACAAATGGAAAATACCTATAAAACCCATGAAAAGAATCTAAAAATTATTAGATATAATGAATGCAGTATTATGACTGGAATAAAAAAATATACAAGTCAGTATGATTCCTATCTTATGTGAAATAAATGGGGAAAATGTACTTAGAAAAAGAGCATAGCAATAGAT